GGAGGACGCGTGCGCTTCAGCGATGCCTTCGTGGCTTCTTCCTCCTCCTCCTCCCCTTCAGCTTCACGCCTCTCCGCGGTAGGGCCACCTGCTTCCAGCTGCTGCAGCAAGGCGAGCAGAGATTGGACACGCGCTTTTTCTCCCCGTTCGTAGTGCCACTGTAAATGGCAGCAGACACAAAGAACTCGATAAGAGTAAGTGAAATAAGGATACAGGGACACGAGAGAGAGAGAGAGAGAGAGAGAGAGAGAGAGATAGATAGAGGAGGGAGCAGAAGATGCTTAGTAGGTTAAGGTCGGTGAGCCTATTCTGCATTACCTCAGGAAACAGGTACATAAAAGGTAAGGCCTGTGGAGGAGTTAAATATGGAGTGCATTTTCACTTAAAATAATGTCCACGTACCTACTCCAAACGGCTTAGGGTCCAAGTTTTCTTGCCAAAACAAGCGAATTTAATTGACCCAACTGTGAAAAAAACTCGCGGTATCCGGCGGGATTTGAACCCACATATAAGGGAAGGCCTTTACGCGTAACAAATTATCTAACAGTTGAGCTACAAATGCCACGCCAAGCACTGTGATTTTTAGAAACACTTGGTCCAACTAAATCAAGCAAATCTGCCAAACCTCCTGAATAATTAAGTCAGGCATGTAGTCATTCTGGTGAATTCTAGATGATTGCTTAGGAAATCCTGCTTGGGCAGTCAGCTTGCTGCTTCGTATTGGTGGATTACATACAATCGGTAAAATTGGGCGGGTAAACGGCAGCAGACACGAAGAAGTCGGTTAGAGTAAGTGAAATAGGATAGAGGGACGCGGGAGAGAGAAAGAGAGGGAGCAGATGCTTACTAGGTTAAGGTCGGTGAGCCTATTTTGCATTATCACCGGAAACAGATACATACAAGGTAGGGCCTGTCGAGGAATTAAATATGGAATGCATTTTCACTTAAAATAATGTCCACGTACCTACTCCAAAGGGACTAGGGTCCAAGTCTTTGAATCTCATTTAATTGCCAAAACAAGCGAATTTAATTGACCGCAATGTGAAAAAACTCGCGGCATTCGGCGGGATTTTAACCCGCATAGTGGGGAAGGTCTTTACGCGAAGCCAATGCTCTACCGGTTGAGCTACAAATGTCACGTCTAAAACCATGAGTTTAAGCGCGTTTGGGTAAACTAAATCAAGCAAATCTGCCAAACCTCCTAAATAATTAAGTCAGCAATGCAGTCATTCTAGTGGATTCTAGATGATTGCTTGGTAAATTCTGCTTGGGCAGCCAGATTGCGGTTCCGTATTGGTGGATTCCATACGAGCGGTACAGTTCGGCGAGTAAAATCGATCCAAGTGTGATTAGACTCACGGCGCTAGGCATGGCATTTGTAGCCCAACTGGTATATCATTGGCTTCGCGTAAAGTCCTTCCCTACTATGCGGGTTCAAACACCGCCGAATGCCGCGAGTTTTTTTCACAATTGGTCAACTAAATCAAGCAAATCTGCCAAACCCCCTAAATAAAAATAAGCGAAATTTCGAGTACCAGAAATAAAGTGAGAAGAAGCAGTGCAATGACCTGCCCGACCCTATATCGGTACGGAGGCTCAGTTTGACCAAACCAAGCCAATGCGTCTTTTAACGCCAACACACGCCGAGCAATCAGCGCACCAACATCCAGCAGGGGGGGAGGAGGGATGAAGGTCCAGCAGGTCACGACCCACATGCCGGCCTGCCATGAAGCAATTAGCGGACAAGCGGGCAACTACCCTTGATGGAGGGGAGAGCCGTCAATTATCACAGGTATGCAATAGCATAGCGACTACATCCTATAAATACTGCAACCCCATGCGTATTAAATTTAGCGTTTCTGCTTGTGTCTCGGAGGATGGATCCACGACAGAATCTGATATATTTGGCGAATAAAATTCCCGTCCCAACGATGACAGCTGTTCCTTCTAAATCTGATTGAAGAAAGCAGACTGACTAATTACCAAAGTTGCACGACGGTTTACCTAGGCCCGTAGAGTAGCCTACCGGTAGAGACGAAAGCAACGGCACTCTGAAGTCACTGGAGCATTTAAAATTGAGCAAATAATTTTCAGCTCAGTTTTATTGAGGGGAAGATAGGCAAACGCCTTTGAGCTCCCTGTTGGTGACATAGTGACTGCAAAGAGGCATCGATACAGTAGAAAATTTCAAAAAGTGGTCATTCTCATGATTGCAGGCGAAGAGTTAGCAGCCATCGTTTAATGGGAAATAGTTAACATACATAACTACTCACTCATCGCTAGTAGTATAATTTTATAAATATAGTATCCTGGCTCATACGCGATGCCAACGGCACGAGCTATTAGATCGGATACAATCAAAATAATGCAGACAGTGAACGAAAGCCTTGCGCGGTTCTCAGAAATAACAGAAGTTTTGAATA